TAAGGAATTGTGATTTTACTTTTAAGACCAATCTGTGTTAAATTCGTGAACTTGACCGGTTCTGAGCCAGTGGCCATGTCGCCTAATTCCCTCGTTATCGCTTGAACACTTACTTGGTATTCTCTCGACAGAGGACTTTCAGTTCGCTGAAAGAAAGGGCCGTAGGTCAGAGCCATTCGTCGAAATGCAACTCGACAAATGGAGATATAGATTTTGCATAGAGTATAATAGAGAACTTAATAGTAATATTCCAGTTCGAACGTTTCACGACCATCACGATCATCCGTTGAACGACGATCTTCCGAGAGGAGGATTTCTCTCCACGATCTCAGGAATGCGTTTCACGAGTTCATCTTTCGAATATTATCCATTCCCAACTATATATAATGAGTTTTAACGATAAGGTATGTTAATTTAGTTGTTGTCGTTTGAAAAGAGAGGAGAAACGATCCATCGATCAGGTTAGTTTGTAAGCGACTATGGCGACTAGACCAGTCACCGAGACAACTAACGTTCGTACTTATATAGTCATTCCTAACACTCGAGTGTTGCTTGTTTTGCTACTTCGACCCCTTCTTTTTCTATGAAAACCTTTAACAAAGAGAGAAGCAAAGAATGAACGAAAGGGAACGATCTCTTTCATATTATGACCTAACGATAATTGTTATAATTGGAAGCCGTTTGTAAATGGAAGGGGTATAAGGTAGGAAAGATCGCTCGAGAATGATGCCTCGATTGCCAAGAAAAATCCGATCGGCCGAACGAAACTCGTTAGTTAGCTGTTCCCGTCCGATTTTTCGATATTGGACACGCCCGAGGCGAGACTGTTAATTTATCACGTACTCTTAATATCCGATATAAGATGGGGCTGCTGTATTTTTACACGGACTTTGTATAAATGACGAGAGCCGCAAGAGCCGCGAGAGCCAACGTTTTTCGCGTGTCACTGTATATATCTGTATACCAATAAATAGCCGTAGAATTGAAAAAATTTTTATTTCACCTTCAGCGTTGTTATTTACAACGTAAATCGTTCTTTGCCTCATGGGACTTCAATTTTGAATGACACGATGTTACATCTTTCATCACAATTGATATTAGTTTCACGCTTCGTCTGCGCCGTATCCTTCGAGCGTCGCATTTTATTTTGCTCTATAATCTCTCGCAATTCATTTCCATACTGAGCAACTGAAAATGAAATATGTATACAACGCTTCGTTCCGCGCCAGCAATAAGTACATGTACATACCTTTTTCACGTCGCGTTTGCTCCTTTAACCTCTCCTTTTCCTCCTGTTTCCTTTGTTCGTCAGCCAAGTACTTGGCGAAAGCAGCATCGATCGCATATTCTTTCGCTTTCCTTTCAGTCATGGCTTGCTGAGCCCTTGCCTAATTAATTCCACGATATTTAATAATCATTTATTGTCCAACATGCGACAACCACGCATGTCGAGAAAACGCAATGCAACTACAACTTTACCATCTCTTGCTGAAATTCTCTCATAATACGTTTCTTTTTTAACGCTTCTTTAATCGCTTCGTTTACATATTCGTATTCTTTCTCTGCCAAATACAATCGCCTGTAAATTTCTTCCCGTTCTCTTCGTTTACATTCCTTCTCCATAAATTTGCTCATCATTCTTTCCAACATACTCTCTTTCGCTGCTTGAATATTAATCTAACAGGAGGCAAATGTATTGTCAAGATAAAATTAAAAGTGTCAAGATAAATCAACGTCTTTTGATAAATCAACCTTTTCTTCAGCTTCCCTCTTTTGTCGTAAAACTTCTCTTTTGACGATGATTCGCATAATCTCGTCGTTCTCCTGCTTCAGAACTTCCCTTCTCTTTTCTTTCCAAAACTGTCGAGCCTTTGAGAAAGCATCCTTCTCAGCTTGCAACAAAGTAAAGGTTACTCTTTTTCTTTTTTCCGCCTCTGAATTTTCCTCGTGCAATGCCTCGCCAACTTCTTCCATTATTTTTCGCTCACGATGCTTCTCCTCTTCTTTTTCGCGCAGTCTACGTCGATTATCTATCAACTGATTTTGCAGATCCCTTTTGTAACTTAATTTTTTCTGCTGCTGCTTTAGTTCGAAGTCTTCGTTGATATTCCACGGGTTAGAAGTTTGTATCTGTTTGTCCTGCGTTTTCTTTTCCTTGAGTTCAGTTTGTATCTTCCCCAAGACTTCGTCGGACATACACGGAGTGGCAGATTTTATTTTTCTACTCTTAGATGATTCTTGCAACTCGAGATCTATGTCATATGAATAAATGGATAACTAGTAACTTTATAGGACCTTTTTAGTTTTAGAGAGAATTTTTTTTTTTAAACTTTACGTTTACGACGTGCAAGCTCCTCAGCTAGGCGTTGCCTGCGTTCAAGTTGCCGAATTTTTAGATCAATGACCGTCTCTGCGCGTTGCAGTTTCTCCGCTTCTAACGTTTCTTTTCGTTCGATGTGCTGTTGACGTAATTGTCGTTTCTTTTCGGCATTTTTCTCCATCAACCTTCGCCGTTCTTCCATCTCTTCAACTTTCTTATCTTTGATCCTTGCAAAATCGTTGTCCCCCTTTCCATCCTGTTCTCGAATCATTACTCGATTCAATTTAAATAAAAAGTTTGTTGAAAAATTATCGTTTCACGCATCACCTGTCAAATTGATGGATAGAGAAAACATAAAAGCATCACATTTAAAGAGACAAAGAGTACATTTATTTTTCATAATTTTTTTTCTTTTTTTTTTGTTACAAATACAAATTTCGTAGAACTATTTAGAAAATCGACGTCTAATACAAAATAAAATACTGTACAAAGAAAACATTACAAAAATATATACAAAGTAGTTTGAAGTACTATTTAATAATCAGCTGCATTGCTAGCCAGATAATCACGACGTCCAATGTTCGATGCTTGTTTGTTTTGGATGGCTTCCAGTTTGGGACACTCTGTGATTCTGTGACCAAGACCACCGCAATAACTGCATCCACGTTCGTCTAAAATGTAATGAAAAAACATAATAACATACACATAACATGATTTAGTTTCTTCATTTCAATAAAAAAAAAAAAGAAGATGTAAATATAATAATGAATTACTTTACCTCCTAAATTGAGATATTTCTCGTTCTCTGAACAAAGCTCCAGCAAGAATGGTGGAACCTTTTGCTTCGCTTCCATGAGCAAATGTTTAAGATCCAATAACACGGATTCATCATTTGCTTTATTAATAAACGTTGTCGCTATCCCAGTCCGTCCAGAACGTCCAGTCCTTCCAATTCTATGCACTGTACATCAAAATTTATTACTTAAGTAATTCATCATTGCTTAATAGATAGCTTGTAATAGAAACATGCTAAATTACCATAGTTCTCAACATCGTCTGGCATGTCGTAATTTATAACGTGTTGTACGTCAGCAAAATCCAGACCTTTAGATGCAACGTCCGTTGCAACCAACACATCTTTCCGACCTTCACGGAAAGCTTCTACAGAACGCGATCTTTCTTCCTGATCTATGAAAAATTACACAACTCAAACATACTGTGAAACATACTTAATAAAATGACATTTCAATATATGAAAATCGAATGTACCTTTTCCACCGTGTATCGCTACCGCTTCAACACCCTTTAATAATAGATATTCATGAATAGCATCAACGTCTTGCTTCTTCTCTGCAAATATCAGTACAGGTGGTGGAGTTTTTTGTAAGCACTCTAAGAGATACACGATTTTAGCTTCTTGCTTCACGTATTCAACTTCTTGTATTACGTTCATAGACGCCGCGCCTGCACGACCAACATTAATCGTCACAGGTTTCACTAAAGCAGAACGTGCAAAATTTTGAATCTTCTTTGGCATAGTTGCAGAGAATAACAGCATTTGTCTCTGGCCCTGTATGAAATATGCTCAAATATAGTGCGAACATATTTTAAATATATTTTAATATATTAAAAAATATCGTAGTAAAGTATGTTTACCCTAAAGAACGAGAAAATTGTTCGCACATCTTCTTCAAAACCCATGTCAATCATACGATCGGCTTCATCCATACAAAGATAACGACACACACTAAGTTTTACCATTTTTTTATCTAACATGTCCATCAGTCTTCCAGGAGTTGCCACCATAATGTGTACACCTCTATAATGAAATATTAAAAGATATTACATAATGCAGTAGAAATATTAAAATGAAAAGATCGAACTATTAGTAGAATACTTGCTTATTAATAACTTCTAAGGATTCTGATACAGGCACACCTCCAATTGCTAGACAGCTGCGTATTTCGGGACAACCTGCTTGCCGTAAACTATTCGTATAATGTCGAATAATATCGTAAGTTTGTTTCGCTAATTCTCGAGACGGACAAATGATTAAACCTAAAAATAATAAATGCAAATTATGAAATTACTTTATAAATTATATTATTTTATTATCTACAATATCAGAATGTAATTTTCATACCATATGGTCCTTCATTTCTTATAAATGGCATAGCCACTTCTTGTTCTAGACAAAACATTATAATAGGTAAAACAAATACCAATGTTTTACCACTACCAGTGAAAGCAATGCCAATCATATCACGACCAGATAATCTACAAGGAAAAGAAAAAACTAAATATTTTGTATCGTACAAAAAAAATGAATAAAATTATACAATAAATGTAAACTAACACTGTTGGTATTCCTTGGACTTGAATTGGTGTTGGTTTAACAATACCTTTCTGTTCTAAACCATTCAATATACCTCTATGAAACTTCATCTCTTTGAAGCTTTTTAGCGGTGGTGGGACATCATCTCCCTCAACTAAAATCCTAAGTTTTCTCCTAATTCTTTCATGCCTTGCTTCTCCCGCAGCAAGCACTGTTCTTGGAGGTCTCCAACTAGTCTTTATTGGCTCGTCATATTGAATACCCTTTGCCAATTCTGCTACACCCATTAAAGCTTTATTTTCTGTTACACTCTCAAGAATCTTTTCTTCTTCTTTCAACTGTTTCTCCATAGCACTTTCCTTCTTAGCTGAAATATTTCATCAATTAATTGATTTCTTATTATAAAATATTTTTTTTTTAAACACATGTACACTTACCTTCTGCCAATTTTTTTAATTCAGTATGCTGATCTAACAAGGAAATGTTTGACTTCCTTCCCCATACTTCATCATCGTCATCCGCGTCATCTTTCTCATTTTCACTGCTGCTTTTTCCAATAATACCAGCAGCTGCTTCATCCTTAAGCTGTCCAAGCTTACCAAGCTTAATTAGTTGCTGTTTTTTACGCTCTTTAACTGGCACATAAGGAACATAATCGTCATCTGTTTCTAAAGCACTGCTCTCCATGTCTTCCTCTCTTTTATACCTCTATAGTAAACAATACTTATTAATTTACTAGTTACTAAAATTCAAAATCATTATTTAAATGATTATTAATAAAAAAAAGAAAACTAACCTTTTGTGGCAAATCTTCTCTATTTTGCGCCATTTTTAAGCAGATAATTAAATTAATTTAATTTAATTTAATTTAATCTTAGTCTAAGATTCAAGGAAAATTCAAATAAATGATTAATATATTCACATATTTGCCTTCCAATATTATTAAAGAATCACACTGCAACAAAACTATCATGTAATAAAAACAATGGAATCCCTATTACTATCTTTATCGCACATCGCTTTCCTTGTCCACGAAGATACTGCCACCTATTAATTCCACCTATGAATATCAAGCAAGATAGATACTTCTTTACTTATCGACAAGTTTATTTTAACCGAATTCAATAGATGGCAATAATTATTTATTCTGCTATTACTTGATAGATGGCAGTACCTGGTGTAG